TTAGTATTCTGAGAGAAATAGTTTAGATTGTTTCCTATAAGAATTCACAATTATCAAATTTTTCAAGCATCTGTAAAATTGGTGCCCCATACAACAGAATGTAATATATATACTTTTAAACTAAGCATCATTAATGAATGTATTTATGATCAGAGACCAATGTTCCAAAGAACAAATTAACTTAGCAACAAAAGAAACGATGATGATGATGATGATGATGATGATGATGATGATGATGATGATGATTAGAAACCCTGTTCCAAACCCATTACATTAATAGGAACTGTGGCAACTTTTTCTGAAATTTCAGTGGAACAGTCTTCTAGTAGAAATATTTTATTTGTTTGTTTGTTTAATCGTATTTATATAGCCATCCCTCACACACAGTGACTCTGGGTGGTGTACAATATTGTATTTTCCTTATCTGAACTGCATGGATGGTTAAGTAGGAGAGGCAATAAGTCAAGCCATGGGCTTGGTAGGACCTGAGAAATTAATTCAGTTGCCACTATGGAAATAGACATATTTTAAGCAGTGGTTGTATCTCCCTTCTAGTACTATGGAAGGTAGAGCATTTTGTCTAGCCAAAGAAAAGGCTTTTCTGTTTAGGATGGACAGTTTATTTGTAAGACAGCATGAGTGAAGTGTCTTCTCAGCAAGCCACCTTTATAATAAGGAGAGAAAATACTCCAAGTTTTCTTAAGGTAGAGGTCAAGAATCTATTGTTTCAGTTCTAAATTGGTTCTCTCAAAGCCCAATGAAATTAAATAATGGGCAGAGAGGCCATGACATTTGAAGTTTTCATCCGTCACTAACTTCTAGGAGAATATAGAATTGCCCTTAAGGATTAAGGAGGCCAGAGGTCATTCCATAAAGGCCAATTTTAGCCAAAACTTTAGGTCTCAGAGACTCAAGCAAGCCTGAGGAGAAACTAATGCAGATCCCACTGCAACAAAAGATGGGGAGGGGGGCACATGGAGAAATACAAAAAAAGAACTCTAATGAACATAGATTGGACAACTTCTAGAGAGTCTAAATTTTTATAACAGTAGTTCAGCAAATTAGAGAGCAAATAGTTCAACACTTAATTACAGGATGTAGCTACTTGGAGTTGATCAATTGTAAAATTGTGTTGGAAGTGTTTTGAGCAAGACAATAACATTCTTAATTTGTTTCTATCATGACAGAGAAAATGCCTAAGTGACTCCGAAGGATTAAAATCTTTAGTTTGGTCTATAATGATGTCATTTATCATCCAGTTGTGATGACATTAGTGAAGAACACTACTTTTGTTTTTGTTTTTGTTTGTTTTTGCTAGAATAAATAGCAAAGGCTTGAAGGGGCCACTTTAAGCCAGTTGTGTAGTAGAAATGATCAGTACATCTTTGCTGAACAGAAGGATGGAAACATATTTATTTACCAGCATTAGAAGGTAGAACTCATTTTTAGATGAAACCTGAAGTACAGAGTTAATATAGAAATTGAAAAGAAGAGGTGCTAAAATATAGACTTGGTTAACACTTTTTGTATGGCAATTGGAGCTGTAAGAACTCCAACGATAGCACATTTGACTTTCATGAAAATATTTTCATATAACTTCATAATTAGATGAAATAAGGTCCATAGTAGATAACTTTGGATTAATAACCTTATGGATTATTGCTGAAGTGATATCTTCATGGCCTGATTATTTTGCTTTCTTTTAAGTCACTATTTTATAAGTGGTTGTAAAATCAATGTGTAATCAATAGTACCAATACTCCTGACACTGTAGTAAGTAAATTTTCCTTTAGGATCCCTCTGTTGAAGGGCCCATTTAAACTAAAGAAATCAAATTTGGTTACCAGTTGAGCCAACTGCCATTCTCCCAAATTTGTACCAATGTTCCTTGAATGGTGAAGCCTGGAGAGAAGAGAATATTTGGCATATGACACTTATAACTAATGTGAGAATGCAAAGTTTCATCCTTGAGGCCCAGTCTGGTATTAAAATCTCCAGCAAGAATTCAATGAAAACTGTGTACAGTATCAGCAAATCTGATCAATAATTCTCATCCTTATTCTAACTATCATTAATTATATTCCATAAGCTGTATGAAGAGAGGTAAACAATGATTATTAGTGTGGAGTCCTTGGGGTTCTCTGAGCTTGGTTCTTTTCCTGCAAACATTTCATTACCTGGCTAGGTAACATCTTCAGTGCTAGAATGGGATGGTGTTTGCTCTCTGTTTATATACTCTTGCATGCCCTGCCAGTGTTGGTGGGGGTGGGGGTTTGGTTTTGTTCCTCTGGATTAGGGTATAGTTTACTGCTTGCTTGTGTGCCTGGTGGCAATCTCTGATTACTTTGAATACCTTTGATTATTAGGAAACATCTACAGGTGTTGGGACTGGTAACTCTATCACTAAGTGACGTGGCCGCTAAGCAAAACATTGCCTGACTGCGATGGACTTATGATGTCACATCACATCACATTTGGTAATTAAGCGAGTTACTGCAGGCCATTAGGCAAGACATCACATGACCACGACTTGCGATTTTACTGTCAGCTTTTTTTTTTACTCTGCCTGTCAGAAGCCAGTTGTGAAGAACACAGATGGTGATTACGTGACCATGGGAAACTGCAATGGTCATAAATGTGAGGACTGGTTCTAAAATTACTTTTTCAGCACTGTCGTATCTTTGAATAGTTGCTAAACAGGGCAGTCATTAAGTGAGGTCTATCTATATTACCAATTTTTAAATTTATGGCAGTGCCAATTAATTACACATCTTATTTTTGGCTGAGAATAGGAAACTGAGCTGCCTTAGGTTTGACTTCCCTTTTGATTCTACATGGCCTTAGATGTAAAACACATATATCTAGTTGTAATGTGTTGAATAATGTAAAATTATTAGTGAAGGAAAGGTTTTATCTCTTTGATCACCAGCTCAAAGAGTGTAAGGTGTTTCCAAATTGTCCATTGATGAGGAGGCACTACAGAAACAAAAATGGCACATTAGTTTGTGCAGATTTAGACTGCAGCTTCAGAATCTTAAACCTTTTTCTTATTTACAAAGTACGATTTGGGTGCGTTCAGGTTTTCTCATTGCCAAATGATATTTTCCTTCAACATTTGGTGCAAAGACTTACTCAGGCTCAGTTATTGGATTCCCCACAGACCATCACTATGCTTGGACCCAGGTTGCCTTCAGTTCTTCCTCTGATAGAGAAAAGTCAAAGTTGGGGCAAATTAATATAGTCCCAGGAAACCAAACATCATATTTCATCATAGCATTTCAATAAATATTTTTCTCCAAAGCTCCTACTGAGAACTTCATTTGAATTTACAAAGTCAATTCAAGTCTGTCACTTGAAAAAAAGAGAGCATTACTCTCTTAAGTAAAATATTTGCCCTCTCTTGAAATGATTCTACCTTGTACTATTTGCAGTTTTTCCTGATGTTGATGATAGTATAATACCTGAAACATTACAGGTGTGTATGAAGGAAATATACATATTAACAGTCTCATGCTTATTTTCTAAATGCTGATAAGGAAGTGTTAAGTTCTTCTGAGATGTTTGGATTCACTTAGAACTAGACACAAAGAAACAGGAAATATTTTGTCCCTTGAAGATGTAATAGTGTTTGCATAAATCTAAATCTGGGCTTATGAAACAGTCTGTCTTTCCTGATTGTAACGTGAGGTAAAACCCAAATGCAGTAACAGCTGAGAACAACTTCTGAAACAGCTGCATGAGCCTGGAAAAAATCATGGCTGTTTTTTCAATCTAAAAAGAGGTGCTTTGTACACATGCCACATGTTCGGAAGCACCTCCAGAAATCCAACAAAATTTTCATCATCCTGTTGGCAGAATAAAAGAATTATAAAGTATTTCTCCAGTTTATGCAAAATGAACTTTTATTAAGTTTGATGTAGCTTAATTGTTACTTTAATTGTTAGACATTTTATTATTTCAAACACATGGGCTGCTAAAGAGCCAATATAGTATAGTGAGTCAGCCAGTCTAGTCTATATATTTGGTCTAGGATCAAGGAGACCCATGTTCAAGTCCACTATAAATCAGCTGTTACTCCGCAGATGTAGAAGGCAAGGAGAGGTAAAGAACAGTGAAAGTACCTTTAGATAGTGACCTTTAATAAAATAGTTAAATGTAACATAAACATTTTTGCATTGAATAAGTTAGTTAACGCATATTCTGTGACAAGCTATCTTGCTCTCTGTTTAAGTGGTGAGAAATTTGCTTCATTGTCTAATGAATTGTAATTCATGTGTTTCTCAATTAAAGTAGTTCATGTATCTATTTTCTCAAAGATTACCAACTTCAGCTCAATATTTCAGCCTGAGGTTGAAATATTACTTCCAACCCATTCATTGTGTAATTTCTGATTAGTATTAATTTGTTCTTTTGGATAGAAATAAGTGACTTCATCCATTTGTCCAATGGAAAATATTGTAGGGTATTGCAGATAGCTGATGCTATAAGCATCTAGGAGGATAAGCAAATATATGTCCCACTAATGTTGGTGACATTATTACGTCCTGCAATAATAAATCTGCTGCATTAAATATGAGGGCAGGACCAAGTTGGCATTGGGATATGCTGAATAATTTGGTTCCTCTATCTGTAAAACAGAGTCATCATCTGTTGTTGCTTGTTAGTACTTAAAGTTAGGTGGGTATTCATAGGCTTGTAGAAGGGCCAAAGGCATGTGACAGGAAATTTCAATGCACAGAGTGGGATATGAAAACTGATAATCAGTTTGAGTGATTTTATCTGAGAATTTATTTTTTCTCAAATTATAATACCTACCAGTTACGTTCAACAGATCAACAAGGCTACAGGAATAAATTATTACAAGACAGAGCAGGTAGAGAAAACAATTGGACATAATTTATTTTCTGCATATTGGATTGGCTTTCATTGATCTCATTTTATAGCTCTTCTTCTCATACACTGAAGGCTATTAAGTTCATTGCTTTTTTCTCTTCTCATAGGCAGGGAATTCGAAGGTGAAGAAGAGTTCCTGGAGATCCTGGGAATAACACGAGAGCAGTCAGGCAAATATGAGTGCAAAGCTGCAAATGAAGTTTCCACAGCTGATGTCAAGCAAGTCCGAGTCACTGTGAATTGTGAGTACTTTTATTTTTACCAGATCAGGTAAAAAAAGAAAAAGAAAGGAAAGATGAAGTTTGTGTGTTGTAGTAATGGCAATGAATGAAAATCTCTTAGGACAGAAGAAACACCACCTGTACAGTCCAGTTGAGAACATTACGGAGCCAAATATGGAAAATCTCTAAGAAAAAGCATTTGGCCAATGAAACAAAAAGAATTTTGGAAAAAAGACCAGCAAGCTAATTTGAGAGAAAGCAATTCACATTCCCTCCCCTAACTGGATGGACACCAGTTGAACACAGAGCAAGGTAGAACCATAACATGAGGACCGCTAAGAGTCATACATTCCATGCTGACTCTTAGTTAGGCAGAATTCTTCAAAGTGAGAGAAAAGTTATTAAACCCCCAAACTGGGAGCATAATTTTACATGTGTAAATCTACCCCAGAAATACGTACATTGATAATGATGTTTGACATAGAAATATTTTAAAATTTGGGAAAGGAGATAGTGTTGTCTCGGGCTATCTGCTTATAAATATCTATCAGAAATGAGGTATGAACTATTTAGTAAATATTAAATTAGAAAAGATATAAAAGGGGGGAACTCATACTGAAACCTCTTTAGCTATCCAAAACAGACAATTCTGTTTCTTCTTGTTTGAACATGGCTTAGATAAATCTGTTCAGCAATTACTTTGCAATCCCTAATTTAGAAGCGTGTTAGTGAATTGACGGTGCATTTAGAATCTTTCAGTCTTATTTTTGCCAGTTTTAATTTGTAATACATTTGTATTTTCATAAAAAGAAATACACTATTTTTGGACTCTGAGAATTATTTAAATATAAATGCTATGGTTTAAGACCTCAGATAGACATATGTCCTTAGGCACTTTTATTTGGTAATTATTAAGGTAAAGGCTTAACTAAAACAGTCACAATGGGGTATTTCTTTTTTCTTTTTCTTTTTTTTTAACAAAACAGTTGATTACATTCTGTCATATCTAAAAGAAAAACATCCATATAGATTTGCTTTGCCCAGGCAATGTAAGGCTTTTTCAGAAGGTCATGTTAAAATGTTAACCATCAGAATTCAAGCCAGCAGAAAAATATGTGGGCAAAAATTGTTCCACCCACTGCCAATCTCTATTCTGAAACAACAGTAAGGCTGAGGAAGGATGCAATCCATACATACCAATTACAAGCCAAGTTAAGGAGAGAGATTCGTGACTTGCCCTGGTTTTGTTTCCCTTCCCATCAAGTATCACATAAAAGTTGAAAAAAAATCCACCAATCACTCTCTCTAACAAGGATTAGGCAAATGTAGGAAGGTTCTTAGAATGTAGGTTTAGCCACCTGTTAAGCTGCCTGGCTAACAGGCTGCTGGCACTACAGTGCTCAGTGCTGTGGCCTGTCAGGAAGTTTCTAAATACAAGTCTAGTTGTATCCGAAAGAACATTAAATCCATGTGCGCTGCTGACA